TTATCGACAAATATATATTAGAAAAAAAATACCCTTTTCCATCCCTATATAATAACAATGGCAGCAGTGTTACCATCAGATGAATCGTATGCTTCTTTACCATCATTTTATTCAACACATAAAGTCTCAGAAACAGCATTTGCGTATAAAAGGCAGTAAAAAAAATAATTACTAAAAACTGACTTTTTTAAAATTTCACACATGCATTATTTATGTTTGGGAATACAAGAGACACAAAGAACTTTTCTATGTCGAGATTTGCATTACCACTCTGCCACCCTACGCCGCCCTACCATGTCCAAATGAGGTTTTTGAACATGGTACCCATGTACACATTTAAGTAGGTTCTCAATTTCATTTAAAAGTTACATATATATTTTCTAAAGTATGTAAGGCCGTGTTATACCTATACCTGACTACCTTTTCATTTATATATCTACTATAAATAATGGGCATGTGGTTGGCAGCCTACATGCATCTTCTATTCTACAAGTAGGTATTATTATAGAGTATTTAAGTGTCATTATTAGTTTAGACTTCTGTTAGTCCAGACTTCCGTCAAGACTAACAATGAGACAATACAAAATAAATAAATAATGTCTAATAGGAAATACATGTGGTTTTACATATAAATAAGGTGTTTCTATATTAATACTAGCTGACCCGATATACGTTGTTTTGCTATATAAATTAAAATCTCTTTTAAAAGATGATAATATTTAATTTATTAAAAGATAGTTGATGGCAGAAGTTTGAAATTTTATGGTTATATTTATTCATAATTCCGAATAATAAATAAATTGATCATGATATCCAAAAATTAAAATTAAAATTTGGAATGGACCTCCCATATCACTTAGGGGTAATAAAAATAGAATAAATAATAATAGAATAAAAATAGTTCAGGTCCTATTCACAGACCCATGGAATGTACACACAAAATTTCATAAGAATCCGTCAAACCGTTTCGAACGACTTATTTTAAAAAATACTGCGACGCGAAATTTTATATAAGATTAATACATTATTAATGTATATTGGAAAATACAGTTTAATAACTTACTAACGTACTAGACTTATTATTAACATACATAGCATGTATAGCTTAACTGCCTATGATTATTATACTATGTATATAGGTACCCATATTATAATATTATATTATTACAGTAGGTTTTGGTCAATAAAAGAAAGTAATGCCATCTAGACGCTCAATATGGCATTAGTTCGCCGCCAAGTCTTGAACTGTAGTGTGAAGTGAGTGGAATATAGGAACCCAAACAACCAAACCAAAATTATCTGTTCAGTGTCTTACCTAGAGATGGCTCTCAAAATTGTATACCTTTAAAATGAAATATTACAAATAATCCAGTGAAATGTCGTCTCACATTGTCAGAACTCTTAGGCACAAATTAATCTAGCTACAAATTGTGTATTTAATAAGTAATAATATAGATATAACAATCAATTTTATTCAACATTTGAAGTGACATTAAATGTGAAATTAAACAGTAAAAAAATTGTAACAAAAAAGTAACAGATTTAATTATTTTCTGCACACAATATAAGTAGGTAGTTTTAGTTTATGTAGACCAAATTATTTGCACTAGGTATATTAATAATCTGTGGTACTTACCTGTATATTTTCCAAATTAATAACATATTTAGTAGTTTATTTTTTCTACGTCTTCCCGCCAATTTTCAAATTTAGAATATGTCTGGATACGGTCGTTCCTCTTCTATTTTCACATTGAAGTTCAAATAAGTTAATATTGTATCGTTTAATTGTGATCTTTAATGTATTTTAATATCACCACAACACTGAATAATACACTAAACAAACTCACAACAAACTGTTGACAGTAACCAAACTCCAGCTCGAATGTCTGAATCACTTTTCTCCGATGGCGAGAACCTCGCGGGAACAGATACACTTAACTCTTGCGTCTCGTTCGCACTCCTATAAATGTACATTGCCATCGCTGCAACTGGTGTCGATTAAGTAAAACCATTACGTTGAGAACAAAAAAAGGTCCCCTTTGAATAAATCGTAATATATCATCGGCTGACGTTATGGGCTTAGGGTCCATGGGATAGTTCTCTTTTGTCCAAACTGTAGTAAAATATATTGGAATAACGGTTGGCTGGGTGAAAGAGCAAAAATTTTATTAACTGTAATCTTATTAATATTTTATAATTAATATAATAATAATATCTCAGTAGATTTTACATAACGACATCTGGTCCCATGGAAAGTAGCGTATTATGGGAACTGGTAACAACTGGAAGAACAGTAGGTACGTAACCTACTTACTTTCTTTTGTAAATACATACATAATGTACATAGAAAACACCCAGACAACTACAAACAATCATACTCATGACCAAAAAATGTTTGTACCGTGGGAGGAATCGCAAACGCGACCATCGGAAGTAATGCGGCGCGGCGCGGCGCGGCGCGGCGTGCTAAATCAGCTACATACCAACCGCTAGACCACCGAGGCCATCTGAATGAATAATTAATTAGCTAATATTTTTTTTAATATTATACCTAATTCAAATTGCATATTATTATTTATTATAGCTTTAAAATAGAGATATGTATTATTACAGATATCTGTATTTAAGTTAGAATCTGCGATATATTTTAAATCTGAACGAATTGTGGAAATTCCTGAAATTCTGAAAAGTGGAGTTAATAAATTTTTGGCGGGTGCGCCATCTATATTTTAAAAACTAACATGTGGTTTCTATTTTTAATACTATTGTCGTGAACATGCTTTACGTGATCTGCTCTTTATGGACATGACTACGATCGGTCAAAGTAGGGACTAAATAATCCAATCCTACCCATAACATTCCGACTAAAAAGTAGAATAACAATCATAAAATAAACGTAAGCCGCATGCACCGCAAACTCTCACGGACCGTGGCCATCTATCAAAGTCAACAAAGAACAGGGTCGTAGGTTCAGTATTCAAGTGCAGCTGACATTGGACGAAATCCGTAGTAGCGATTTCGTGCTTAGATCTATAATAAAATAAATTATTTACATTTAATTTGAATATTCTCTGATATTGAGATATCAACGAGTACGTCGTAATGTACTTAACGGCAACGGTGGTCTAACGGTTTGCACAGCTCCCTACTTCCGATGGTCATGGGTTCGATACCCCGCATGGAACAAACATTTATACTTATGATTTGTTCATTTCTATGATTGTATATTGTATCGGTCTGGGTATTTTCTAAGTCTATTATGTATACGTTTACAAAAAAAACTACGTATTTGTATCAGTTGTCTACTATTCATAATACAAACTTTGCTTAGCTTGGGACTAATCTAATATTATTCCTACTGTTTTCTTGATTTTGCTAATATGGGATCGGTTAACGCCGAAACAAGTAGATATTTCAGCAATTTCTTAAAAAAATAGCATCTATTGACATATGTTTTTTTCATCAACCAGGTAACGTGATTTTTATAATGGTAATCATTACTAGCCGTTTTTTTCTTATGAAATAGCCATTAGGTACATGCTAATTGATTTAATTTAATACTCATTTAACATCCTTCACTTGGGCCCAAGTAAAATAATAGTTGCAGATTTCGTTTCATCGTAAATGCTAATTAGATCTTTTTTTTATTTTACTTATTTCCATGTACTCATTTTCTCACCTTCAGGCCTTTCTGGCATCAGTTTCATCTATTTCAGCTGCCAGCGTCTTGTTATGTAAGCTGTGATTCGGTTGTAGGGTACGATTAGGCTTTAAAATTACAGGTTGATATACCCATTAGTCATTTGTAATTGCATCACATAAGTGGTATCCGGTGATATAACTACATAGACGATAGTTACTGCTTACCATCAGGTGGACCATCAGCTTATTTGGCACTCTAATTACTTAAAAAATATAAATAAAACATAAACACGGCCGCCACTTTATCGATTAGTTTTAGCTATTTATTATAATCGTTGAAGACTATTTTAGCACGTGCTGCTAAATTATTATTGTTCTTAACATTTAAAGTCATTTTTGTCTCTTCAAAATCTATTTTTACTACATTAGTTAACACGTTACAGTAATTGTCATAGTCATTATATTCTAACTCTTAACGTAAAACTCACTAAGGATTAGCAATAACGCAATCTATAGTCGGTCATGTCACAATAATAATAAAATAAGAAACCGTGGATATACCAAATAGCTGCATCTAATCCTAAATTAAGTAACACTAAAGCTCAACTACTGATAGTTTAGAAAAATATAAAATGCTACCTTTTAAGTCTGAACTAGGACTATGCGACTATCGAGATAATGATTTTCTAGTTAACATCTAAGGTAACGATATCTCTGATTGATGATATAGTGATATCATCAATCAGAGATATCGTTATTATAGAGAAAGTAAAATACTACTCGATTTTTATACATAATTGTACAAACTAGGTAAAGCAAACAATGATCAAACTTGCAATATCTAAATTTATCGTATTTAGATTACATCTATGTCTTTGATTATGACGCCGTTGTAATATTCAAATTTCTCTTTTACAGTAATTTCGTTCAAAGTTCGTAATAAAAAATAATGAATAACATACTTTTGTATTCCATAACTAAAGTTCCATACTACACTCGTTATCAAAACTATAAGTAAACCTGAAGTAGTTTGGATAAGCGATTGTGACAAGCGTTTTAGCTACCGAAACTTATTCTTGTATATTATCTTGTGTCCGTTTACTATCAGAGACCCGGTATGTCAACCTTATCTGCACACATACACCTACCTTGAAGAACCTACGCACACAAATGGACAAAGTCATTACCAAATTAACGACAATCAGGTGAAGAAAAAAGCATTTTGTAAACAAGACGCATTGGGGACAGTCGCTTAGGTGCTTGCTTAATGGTTAAATATAACTGTGGTGATAATACTTCGATTATAATAGTATTGTGCAATCAAATCAGTGAATAGTTTCATTGTGTTCAGTTCAGGTATGTCTTCGCCAACATCTTCACCGCCAAGTTTACAATCAGATCATGAACTAGAAGATTCGAGAGACTCTGCATCAACAAAATTCACTGGAACAGTTACGCCGAAATATAATGAAATTCAATTCATAGATGCACCTCATGAAAGCGATGGTAAAAATAATACTATAACATCACATGGAGTAAAGGATATATTGTCAGAAGGTATAACTTATAATGCTGTTGATAATACTTTTGATTGCAAACCAGAAATTATAGCGTCAATACCTCAATCTTTTGTACAAGATTACAATTCAAGAGATTCAACTGGATTTAGCATTCACGATATTCTTGGAATACAACAATCATATAACTCAACCAATGTTCAGGAAGATTTAGAAGCAAGATATGACTACCAGATACCAAACTATGAAAACATAAGCAATAGCTCCATCAATAACTATGGATCTGGTACTGAAGAAATAATTTCAGATGATTGCATTGACAAAAATGACAACATATTTAGCTCTTCTACGCAAGTTGATTCTCAAGTTATCAATAGTAATAGAAGCTATGTCATTAATGAACCAGTCCGCTATCATTCAAGAAGTGGTTTAGCCAGCAATATTATAAAAGATCCTGTAAGAGAAATCAACGAATTACACGAATCTAGTTTTCCCAGTCAGGTAACCAAAATACAAACTACTTCAATCACTTCGTCGTTAGATATAAAGTCGATAATTATAATTTGAATAACTTGTCAACCTAATGTGATTTACCACAAAAATAACCGGATTCCTAATGACAATTTAATTTTATAGATAGTAATAATTGACCAATAGTTCGAAATACCTTATTTTACTGTCAATCGGTCTCAATATAACACGTTAAATTGTACTAAATATAAACTAATTCAATTTTTCAGAATCTGTCATGGGCTAACAAGTCTCCTAATCAAATTCTAAGTACTGGATCTTCAATATCAGGCAACGGTAAATATTTGCACGATTATTATAATATCTAACTAAAATCTAAATGTCCAAAAACAAATTTGAAATTAATATTTTTGTCTTTAAATACCTTTTAATTACTAAAATATGCCGTCTTTTCTAATATTATTTATGTAAAAAGGAGCATAATTATTTATATAATTTTTGTATAATTATTTGTATTTATTTAATATAAATATAATTCTTTCAGAAATGTCATCTGAACCGTCATCTTATCAAAAAGGTTTCACTAAAAGAGCTCGGACAGCCTACACAAGTTCACAATTGGTGGAGTTAGAGAATGAATTTCACCAAAACCGATATCTTTGTCGTCCCAGACGGATAGAACTAGCCAACTATTTACAACTATCCGAGCGACAAATCAAGATATGGTTCCAAAACAGACGAATGAAATATAAAAAGGATAATAAACACAATAAGCCGTCCTCATCAGTAGACGATAGTAGTCCGTCTAGTTCAAAAGAGCTTTCACCGAGTCAAGATCATAAAATGAGCCACGGAAGAAGCTGTGGAGGACACGATAGACATAGACGTCTACTAACAGATAGTCACGCCAGTCATCACAAAGCATTTGTTGCGCCCAACGATATTCTCTCAAAACCTCCAGAATATTCTACAATTAGTGCACTCAAGTCTGTAATAAAACCTACTCAGAATACTATTGAGCTTCCGTCGTACACGCCAAATTTGTCTTATTCATCGTATTATAGTGCAGGAACAAGCAGAGCCGGTTACTCACCTTTATCCGAAGTTTATCGGTACTCGAACGATGAGTCATTGCAACCAAATTCTAATACCCTACCGACGCTACCGTCAGATAGCTACGTGCCTAACGGTGTCAACTTAAAACTCAATGATGACATAACACGATACACTACGGCGTCTCCCTATTATAATCCTTTGCCCACTGCAGTTATGATGCCTCCACCAACAACTGATGCTTATGGATTCACTTCGACAATGCCATCTATACCAGCCCCTACGTACGATGATAGCAGCGTACATTCTAGAGCTTCAAGTTTATCTCTCACTCAGGATCCTTATTATTCCTATTTAACCACCCCTGATCCTGCTAATCAACATACTTCTACATCAAGTAGCAAGTACTCATCGTACATATCTCTCTGACATGGTATTGCTACATTTAAATTCCTTTATACTGTTTGCTAAGTACTGCCATTTTTTACTTTAAAAATAACTATTTGAGTGATATTTTTATAGTCTGTTATATTATTATATAATGATATAAATTTATTTTAGAAATAGATATTAAAATTATTTTGTGAATGGTTGTGTATTAAATTTGTTACTATTTTCTCTAAATGAAGTATTTTTCTTACCACTGATAGGTTTACAACACTGTTTTCATTTTTTTATTAAAAGCTTTTATTTATAATAATAATATTTGTAAAATCTATTTGACTCACAATCCTACATCAAATTGATTTATTCACTCACACTCATTTGGTTCCCCTGTAAGATTGCTAAAATGTCATTTTTAATTCCAATATGGCGACCCCCGCAAAACGGCCAATTTATGATTTGCACTTTAACCCGATATACAAACTATATAATAAAAGTGTTCGATACGTGAAATACAATAAGTAAACTGACGTCATTCGAATTCAAATATGGCGGGTGTGGTCAAGTGTCGATTTAAAATTAATTACAACCATTATTAATTTTAAAAAGTTTGAATAAGAAGATATATGTATAAATTAAACAGATATTTATTTAATATTCGAATTATTAATAAATAAATAATAAATTAGCTATAAAGAAACTTAGATAATAAGTTTCTTAGATATTAGTTGTAAATAAAAAAAATACTATTAAAAAATCCGTGCGAACAAAACTTCTTGCAACCTTTTCCGTCGATTTCATATTCAACATACATACTAATATTATTAACGTTCTTTGTTATCTTAATATGATGTTATGGAGATAGATTGTCTTTTTTTATGTATATCTAATTTATATTAGACATACTGCAATATTTGCAACGTGCTAAGCGTCTTAGGTGGTAACTATCATCAAGCGTTGCCATTTTAGAGGCCTATGTTGGATACATAACGTGACCATTTATACTTTGACTCAAAATGGGACATTGGTTTATTTATGTCAATTCAAGTCAATAGACAGACAAAGGAAAGCTATTTATTCAGAAAAAGTTAGTTTAAAAATGAAGTATTATTGGATGAACAAATTTCCTTTAATATAGCTAATGAAGCTTTTAAGTAGGACTGAAACTCATGCCACTTTTTTTTTATATTCACATTAATTATCAACAATCACTACTCGGCTCGCTCGACGACACAAATTTTTGCGGAGTTACCGAAAACAATTTTGCGCCCCAGAGTTCATTTTCGGGACACCGGGACTCGTAATTACAAAAAGGCACAGTCCAGTTTAAAACGGGACGTCTGGTCACATTATGTATATACTTATGTTAATGTGTAATAGTAGGTACTGTACGATATTCACACTCTACTCCGCTTATTGGCAGCTTTTTTCTGGACTACTTTAATGCTGTGAGCCGTACCTGGCCTTTACAGCTACACCGCACGATACACGATATAGGGCAAGTGCGGATGACCCTCCAAACCTGCGGAAGGACTTATATTGCGGCTGAAGGCCATCTCTCGCCTGACTTTAGTTTGAGGGTACCGCTAGGGTTTCGAACCTCGGCTCAGGACGTCGTAATTTCAATCGCCGTTTGAATTGGACGGGGAATCGATCGGAGGAGCAAACTTATTACAGCCGCAATTAATTTGAGACAGTTTACCTACTTTATTCGACAAATAAATTATATAATTATGAGAATATATATATAATATTACAATTAGCAAGATTGTGTCATCGGAGATTCTACTATTCTTAAAACTAACAAAATTAAGTATATTACTAAGAATAGTTACTGTTTTGAAATTGTTAAGCGAATGGCAAAAAAATATCGTATATGCAAATTGCATTATTTCATGAAGATAGCTTTTGTTATATTACAGGTAAAATATTCGCAAACCATAGGTATTTTCCTCGATTTCTAATGTGGACAATAAAACCAGATCATTAACGGGTAGCAACTTGTACAGACAAGAAGCTATTATTTCCATTTTACAGAAGTTAAAAGTAAATCGCTATTCTTTATTTTCATTATGTATCACACAATACAATGTTAGGAATAGTTAGGTATATATTGAAAACAATATAAAGTTCCCGCTCGCTTCATATGTTGGAAGTAGAGCGGCGACTTTATTGTCATTGTTATCACTATCAGTTTTCTTCAAGACACATGCACAATACATTGTACTACAATGCAACATGAGGCGGTTTGTGTTGATAACAACAACAATACGTTGTCACCATACTGCTTCTGCCATATTTTAATATAATAATGGACAGCTTAAATGTTTATTGTTAGGTATAATATTTTACAATATAAGATTGCATTGTGTTGGTTAGGTAAATTGCGGCATTCTCTTACATGTTTGTAAATAAAAGAAATTTATTACAAAGCTAAATTACTTACTTTTAAGTCGATTATCGACTGTAACTTTGGGAATATTAAAATATTATAAGACCAATGTTACCTACATAAATACAATATAATTTCAAAGTAGGTACTTTTTATCAAAAAAAATACTTTTCTTGTAAATTAGGACTAGATACATATTCTCTTAATAGGATTAACTTTCAATACCATGAAATGAAAGAATCTACGAAGTAAAAGGTATTTGCAATAAAATAATTAAATTATAAGCATTTATTATTTAGTATTTAAGTCATTAAGTTAGTTATGTGAAATAAAATCTTTAATATCTATTCCATTACATTGGCTACTCTGGCAATTACAAAAACTAAAATGCTTGTCTTGTGATGCCATTTTGTGCTAACGGCATAATTGCACACCGAATCTACGTCATTACACTGATAAAGGGAAATCCAGTGCTGCCTTTTTTAATGTATTATAATTTCACGAATACTAGGGACAATACGACTATTATTAATAAATTGTTGTTACAAATTAATGGCCGCGTCGTCATGTAACGGCTCGAGACTGATTTAGGCGGTTAACACACGAACAATCGCAACGCTACGCCGAGCATCGTGCGTCACCGCACATCACCGAGGTAACGTGCATCATCCGTGCATTTAGCAATACATTCAAATGATATAGATTACTCAACTTGCTTTTATACAATTCTAATTTTGATGATTTTTTATTTAAAGATAATAGCAAAAGTCAATTGAGCAAAAGCAAAATAAATATTGAGTGGCTATATCTTTATGTTTAAATAACATTAGTAGTAAAATAAAGATTATAAGGTACTCAGGGTTAGAAAGTAAAAATTATAATAAATGAAACCAAACAACAATTTAATTAAAAATCATTTATTTAATTTTTAAACATGAATGTCAATTGTATACACTTATTTTAAATATACAACTGTTTACAAAATTACTTAATCTACTCAGAAATTAAATTTCTGAATTTCTAACAGTGTCTGCAAAGATTCAATTGGTTCAAAAGGTTCCCAAACAGGAGATTGCTCATCATTGGTGCTGTCAGTTAGATCTGCAGGAGAAATGGGTTCGTATATGGGAGTAACCCCAGTTTTGACTTCAGGCTCCTGTTGGTTGTTGTCACTAACAATTAAATCTTGTACTTTAGTATCCTTAGATATAATGCTATCTATAGCTTCAACCAAGCAATCCATTGCTTGGTTATCAAGCGTTACATATCCGTATTCGTCAATCTGCTTTATCTGTGATTCTACATAGGCGAGTCGAGCTGCAACTGGGTTTACATTTTCTTCTTTCATATAATTCTCTGAGCGTATTTCTTGTTCTATCTCCGTATTTTCTCTTCTCTGTTTCAATCGGCGATTCTGAAACCATACTTTGATAGCTCTGTCACTGATTTTTAGCTGATCTACTAAGTACTGTTTTTCTACTTGGTTAATATACTGTTTCTTCTGAAAAACGTTTTCCAAAATTGCAACTTGTTCTGTTGTAAACATCGTCCTTTTGCGCTTGCGTTTAATAATTGTCTTTAGGCTACTGGATGTGTGAACAACTGCAAAAATTAAGAAGACGAACTTATTTTTTTATAATGAAATATAAATATTAATAATAATAATTAAAGTTATTATGTGCCCATTATTAATAAAAACAACTATTTCAGTCGTTTAGAAATATCTAGACAAAAGTAAGGAGATAATATTGTGAAATGATAGAATAAGTATTGCTTCAGTAAATTATTAAATCCGTCATAAAATATATCACCAATTTGATAAACAAGTGATTAACAAAATTCCAATTACAACTAATAAAATCTTTAGCGTTAACTTACCATTTACACGAGCAAGCTGAGAATTTCTTTGAGAATTAATATCATTAAATGCTGAATACATGCTGGCTGGCTGGTTTGATATACTTCCAAGTTGCGGTGTCTGAAATAAAAGTTAGTAAGTAAGTTTCTTTTTAATTATTGCTTGTGCTAAGGAAGTTAAGTACTAATTAAATTTTATTTACCATAACTGCCCTCTCAACAATATTTTTAGGGTAGTGATTAATAAAAGCCACATTCATCGTTGAAGGTAAGGACAACACTTCAATATTGTCATTATTCCTTGGAGTTGCGTATTCTACATCTCTTATATTTTCTTGATTTAAGCCAGCCGTGTTGCTGTTATAAGGTATCTGAAATTAAAACAAAGATATAGATATATATATCTAATACCCATATACATACAATCATGTGTATAGTCCACAAGATAATACTATACCTGAGCATTCTTCATATTATAGGAATATATTTCACTATTAACTGCCCAAGGAAATACATGGGCAGAATTTTCAATAATATTGCCACTTCCTTGACACGAATACATGACTGTTTAACACTGGGGTCTTGAGTCAACTAACGTGAAATGTATAAATCTTATCTTTGCAATGCAATGTCGGTAACAATGATTACTAATTGCCTTATCCCCACTACAATCTAACCCTTTCTTCCATTGGTAGTTGGCCAGGTACTCTATTATCATTCTTATCTATTTATACTTGACCAAAATACTCTTTCACACAATAGCAGCCATTAAGTAATTCTTTCTCATATTACATATTATATGTGTAAAAATTTTTTTGTTTGTTTATTACCTCTTAATATTTTAACTCAACTCATCGTCACTAAAGTTTAGTAAAACTTAGTATATAAAACAGAAAAGTATATACCTGTTGGTAATATTTTTATTCTAATCAGATAATAAATTCCGGGCACGTTAATTAATTATCGTGTAAAAACTAGAACTTTACATTAGTAATGTTCTTGAAAAGTAAGTTCACTTATTAGTAAGATTGAGGCAAAAACGGAAAGTGCCGTGCTGAAACGCGCGACTTCGCGCGACACCGCACTGTTGCGTGTGTTGAACGCCTAACCCAAAAGTCAGCCGTACTGCCGTGTTTTCCATACTTATCATTATAATTAGTTCTACAGAGTATCTTTTTAGTAATGGAATATACAAAAATATTAATACAAATAAATAATTTGCGGTATGACCTTAGCAATCACAATTTCAAGTACGACTTTTAGATATAATTATATTGAAGTAATATCTTATATACCCGAACAATTTTATTATAATATACATTGGTAATAGAATAACAGTAGGTATATAATAATAATATCTCAGGACAATTCACACAAGGCCGTCTAGTCCCAAGTTAAGCATAGCTTGTGTTATAGGTACTAGACAACAGATATAAAGACATGGATGCATTTTTTTTGTAAATAAAAACATATTATACATAGAAAACACCCAGACCGATACAAACAATTATACTCATGAAAATGTTTGTACCGTGCGAGGAATCGAACCCGCGACCATCGGATAGTAAAGCGGTATGACAAACCACTAGACCACCGACACTGTCACATATTTTCACAATAACGTTGATCGAATATAAAAAAAAAATATAAACTTTATCTTCTTCAAAATCTGTTCAGCTGCTTTATAATTTATTGCACAAAACAAAAAACCACCAATAGGTAAAGTAAGTTCGATCGATACAAAAAAATACTTACTAAAACTGTATACAATTAACGAAAACATTAGGTACCTAAATAAAAAAATAAGTATAAGGCGGGTAGAAATTATTCGAAATTATCGATTTTAAAATCGGAATACTCACATTTTTATTAGTAAGTCATCTTCCATTATTATGTGTAATATTTCTTGTCAGTTGATTGTGAATACTATAATAACCAAACTACCCTAAATCAGTCAATTTTAATCGTATTGCAGTGACTGTTTTTCGCTAACGTTGTACGCAATAGGTGCCTGGACTTTGTTTAAATATATAATAAACTTAGTAAAATGTTTACCAACGTGTTGATGACAACATTAACACCGCCGACAACGGTAAGTGGAGTAAGATTATTTATTGTATTTTTAAACTTACATATTTGTTTAATCTTAGTGAAATACCTAAATACCAATAACAAATAAATATAATGCATTTTGCCCAAAATCGTCTACAAGAGGTGCTTACTCTAATTCACCTATGTCAGCCAGTCGCAAAGCAAATTCTTTATAAGCCGTGTTTCGATTAAAGAGGTGAGGTACGGCAGTTATTAGAAATGGTAACCCAAAAGGGATATTATGTGACTCATATGACGAGACATAACGTCTGTGGTGCTTTTAGTTAATATATATTTGGTGATAGCACTTACCATGAGGTATATCAATATTTTTTTTCTCATATAGTCATGAGTAGTGTAAATAAATATTGTAAATACATTTTTACTAATAAAATTAATTGGTTACTACATTATATTATAAGATAACCTATTTTAGAAACAAATTGTTAAGTAAAATATCAATTCAGTAGTTTTATGCAGGTATATGAAATGCCAGTATAATGCCAGTAGAGTAATTAAAAGTTATAAGGAGGTATAAAAATCAAAAGTCAAAAATAAGGTATATGGCAAATAATTTGATATACTTAATAAAAATAATAAAATATTATTTCAATGTACATCTAACTTAAAATAAAGCCATGATTAATATGATATTTCTGTTTTTAGTTAGAGATAGCTTACCGCTAGAAACCGTTTTTAGTAACAAATAGTCTAACATACTTTATTCTATTTTTCCTATGTGCGGAATAAAGTGTTACTATTGTTATTTAGAAAGAATGTTAATGATGTTTACAAACTCAATTTATTGACTGGAATAGTTACGTTGTAGCAAAGAAGCAAAGCTTTCGGTTGCTGTTTTCATTGGCATTATTTTTCTATACATTAGATATTATTATTTATATATATATAACAACATTATTATTATTTTCATTATTGCATATCATGCAGTAAGACCCTATTTAAAAATAATAAATTTTGGTAAATAAATAAATTATTATTAATTATATATGTTCCTTATTAATATAATATTGCGTAAGTCTTTTTTTAAAACTATTTTTCTACTGTTACAGATTAATCACTGGGAGGATAGACCGCCTTTGACAACTGTGTGGTCGGAGGAGAGCAGTAAAAAACTTAACGGTAACTAATTTTTATACATATGTATAGATCTAGGTGATAATGTAGATTTGACCTTATTTCACATGTACATGTGAAACACTGGTACCACTATTTAAAAACCTCTTTACATCATATAAAAGTTACATTATTCGAAGTATAATATATACCATCATGTTTATTATTGAAATCTAGTAAACTGGTGTTGAACAACTATGCAGGATGTACCTGCATAGCTGTTCGGATGAAGTCGGGCAAAAAGTATATACTATGTACTAATCTAAGTATGCGCTATGTACCTGCGTACCAAATATTCAACCCCATCCAGTAGTTTGTTGGGCCACAAACTTTCGAATTTTTTATATTAATAGAATTTTTATTACAGACGTACCTGTACCAAGAAATTTAAAGAAGAAAAAACGAGTTCGCACTGCATACACAACCGAGCAACTGAAAGTTTTAGAGAAGACATTCATTAGATTCCGGTACATTGACATAAGCCGTCGCAAGGAACTGGCTAGTACTTTGAATATTAACGAGAAGAATATAAAAGTATGGTTCCAGAACAGAAGAATGAAAGAGAAGAAAGAATCTTCTGAATCAAGTTGCGATTCCTCTACCGAAATACTACATCAAGAGGTATCACCTGCATCACACTCACCATCTGAATCTATTCAATGTGAAAGTCCGAAAATGGATGATTATAAGAGATACAATTTAAACACACAGTATGTTTTACCTACATTTTACTACGAACCAGTTCCTAACCATTTCTGCTATAATAACGCAATACCGGCAACAGAGTATCAAGATTTCTCTGTACAAAATCCCATATCACCTGTTAGTGAAACTTTTTCAAATGAAGGCATCCATTATCCTACTGGTTACTATCCAAATTATCAAGAATGTGAGTACCCAAATAACCAAAATCAGTATCGTAACATGACAATGGGCGCCGAAAATTGGTCTCCGCATACGTTTGATTTAAGTTATTTTAGTTAAGTAATTTATTTAAGACACCTTATTTAATATCTGTACCAAATATTATTAATTATGTAAATTATTATTTTCATCGTAATCATCATTTTAATAATTGTGAATTTGGTATACAATTTGTATTTAGTTAGTAAGTTATTTATTTTTAAATTATTGTTATTTTATTTATTGTAATATGTGAAAAGACTGAATACTTAAACTAAGTTAAGTAGTTAAATAGAAAAATAATTTATTTTAATTATAAGTAATTAAACTTAGAGTTAATTAAATGTATTTTGATACAATGAATATATAATTTATGGAAACTTGTGTGCACGTTATGTAAGAGTAAGAAATGTAATGTATACGATTCTATCTATGAACTATTTCTCTACTATACTTGCTTACCTTAACTAAAAATATTAATAAGCGATATATGTAGGTAGTCTTTTCTTAATTTTTACTAGTTTTGTATCTTTTTTATATCTATTTTAAAAATGTACCTATGTACCTAATGTCAATCATGTTTAACATTTTAGTAATCAGTTAATTTTAAAAATATTTTAATTAATTAATAAAACTGCCTAAACTTTATGAAACAAATATTTTATTCACCTTGTAAATACATATTTACGTAGGCATCGTCAACAAGTACAGCATTAGTATAACAATATACACTTAAAAAGAATTAACTAAATCATGGATAGTTCTGGAAAGGCAAGGCTGTTATTATGTACTGAGCTTGAGAACTTGAACTGTTCTCTGGAAAAACCGAAGGCGGTTTCTCGTGACAATTACAGTGGCACGGCTTCACGCTTTTCTGGCCCTGATTCGCAGTTACACCTGATCCAGACATATTAGGAATTGTCACAGCTGATGCTCCCGTTGTCATCACAGGCATGACATTCACAGGTTTCCATAGCATATTACCTGCAGATAAATACGGCGGATAATTCGCCACGTACAGAGGTGGGTAATCTAAATTACTCGGGCTCACAATTTTATTTGAACTCTCAGTCTCATCTCGCAATGTCGTCTTACAGGACAAGTCTTCGGGAGAATTTTGTATATCAAATGTAGATTCTTCTTTTATCTTCATATTTTTTTCTACATGTATGGTACTACTTTCCGCAAGAGATGTATTTTGTTTGTCATTGTCGTTATTATAATTGTTTCTATATTTTTTACACAGGTCGATAGAAAATTCTGCAGATGACCTATAGCTCGGTATTGCATTGTTTTTGGCAGTGGACGGTAGTTCAGAGTAAGTTTTGTTGTACATACTACTACTGCTTTGATTGCTATCAGATGGCAATACTTTATAAAAATTTACTTTTGATGGCCCAGTACTTACTGTAGCCTCATTATATGTTGTTCTTTTGTCAAAATTAACCTCATTTGCACAACTTTCATCTTTTATTAGTAATGGTAATGCCTGTTGATGTTGATCGTTAATTGAGGTTTTAGTACTCATATTATTTAATTGATCGTTAGTAAATTCAACATTCTTACGATTAATGCGTTCATCAAAATCAATCTCCTTATTGACACCGTCTTTCTTTTCCTTCATCCGGCGATTTTGAAACCAAATTTTGACAGCCCTTTCTGGAATGTTCAATATAGTTGCAACTTCTTTACGTTGAGCATTGCCAATGTAAGGAAATTTTTTGAACTCATTTTCCAAGTAGTTTACTTGTTCTGTAGTGAATGCACTTCTAAATCGTTTTCCCTTTCTTGGAACAGCATTCTCATGGCGTATGTCTCCCTGGAAACATAAGAATTTTTTTTTTATTATTTTTCTGTTGCTTAATTATGTAAATAAGTAACCATCACAACATATGAAATGTGAACTTATTTTACGAATCACCTATTTCCTTTTGTAAAGTCAACTACTAGTATTATTGTTATTGGGATTATCAGTGATACAAAATGCTTAGAATGAATTTAGATAATAGTATGCTTAATAGGAATAATAACTACTTACAGCTTCATTGAAGTCCATTTCAGACAAATATTTTCTTTTAATTGGTATTTTGCCACTGATTGTAACTACGTTGTTATTATTCTGCAATAATTTCATACTTTTTTTAATATTAAAGTTATAGTATCATAAACAATGGACTAAATACGCATAACACAACACAACTAACAGTTAAACATCCATAATTTCAAATATATACCGATCATTTTAAAACATTATTTAATTACTATCAAAATTACATAATCATACACTATTAACTAATTATAGTGAGCCAGATATCGTAGTCAATTATGTGCTACGTATAATATCAATATAGACTTTTGAATACAACCACTATGTGATGAAATCTAACATAAAATTAATCCAAACTATATTTGTAGGTAGGTATAGCCATAGTGGATCAAACAAAATATAATCCACCGTCATTACAGAATAATAATAGTTTTGTAATTTTAATACTCTATTAATTAATTACTTTCGTAAGATATTATTATACTTTATGACTGTGTCTATGACAATACAATTAGAAAGTTGATATTTTAATCACAGATAAGATACATCTTTATTTCATAATTAGGTAACTAAGAAAACAACATTTCTTCCGGTCTAAAAACAATATTCAATGCTACTCAAAATAGGTACGAGTAAGTTGTTTATCTTCATAAAGAAGTATTTTTGGCAAATTATTTTAACTAGATAGTGAAGGGAATAACCGTCGGGACAATTGCAAGCAAAATTTCTCTAATTAACTAATTTGTTTACCAAGTCAATAACAATTTGGACCATTCAATTGATTCTCATTACTTCAAGTACCTATGTATATTTGAACAATAACTGAGGCTGCGACTTTGTATCCATGTTATTAGAAATAGAAATAAATATTTATTGTTTCTTTTTTGTTTGTGAGCTGTTTGGAATAAAACAAATACATAGTATATTTATTATATACATACATATATATATATAATATTGTTATGGGACGCATGTCAGAATATAGTGTATATAGTTAAAACAAAAATAAACAAAACTATTTTTTGATTTAACTAATGTATTATATGGTGCAAAATTTTTTTTTAGAAAAATAGGTCTACTAAATATACATGGTTCCTTTACTATTTATCATAGATAAAAATGTAACAATAGTAGGTATTAACGCTAGTTATATGTGAAAATACTTAATACTTACTTTGTAGTATTTAGTACCTACTTATTTTTTTATTTTATTTATGTATTTAATTTAAATTACTTAGCTTATGTTAAAAATGCTTTATACTTAATAGCATGCATATGAAATATCATCTAATAAAATAGAAACTATCTCCGTGATCACCGCTCTGACGACGGCTATCTTCCACGGCGATCCTCCATCACCACCCTCCATCATCAAGGTGAGAAGATATTTTTTATTGGGGACCCGGCTCACAAACGCCTTAAAGGTCGCGTCATGACTCAGCTCCAGTTTCGTCACCCTCAATGTCAGATTACTCCTAATCCGTATGTAGTCGACAATGTCCTGCACCTATATGTAGGTACACTTACTAAATTAATACTGAATAACCTAACCCACTCTATTCAGTATTAATTTAGTAAGTGTGTAAATTTTGTATTATCTACATTTCATTTTTATTCAGTATCTACTAGGTACCTATATTATAACACACAATCATTGGATAACTTACTAATACCATACGTAATTCTCAATCCTCAGCCATCTTTAAGAACTTAGTTAAATCTCACTACCTCTCCCTGTAAATACTCGTTACTTCTTTTCCACTTCTTTTGCATCTTACATTTAGTATAGAGTGTTATTTACCTATATGTATGTATACTGTTTATGTGTTGTATATATGTATGTGTGTGTTTATTTATTAATTTTAATTTATTTACTTACACTTAAGTAAATAAATTAAAATTAATAAATAATATGTATTTTATATTTTGTTACCTTATTTCCACTCATGTGCCGCCTACTTTATTTTTATTTATACTCTCTTTCCTAAGATTGTCTGGAAGAGATTGCGTTAGCGATAAGACCGCCTTATGTACCTTCTCCTTTCTTTAATGTATTGTTATATATTATTTTCTTTTTATGTATCTACTTTTAATATTGGTGCAATAAAACAATTATAGAGAAATAAAATAAAAGAATAAATAATATTTATACTAGTGATAATTAATACCTAATTATCACTAGTAAATATAGAGATACTGCAAATAACGTTATAATTTAATAATATATGCATTTCGCCCCAGACTTTGTAAAAAAATTCTACGTGGGTGCCTTTGTCTAACTATTTTAGCCACCAAGTGGCATGCTTTGTAAGTTATGTTTCTGTTGAAGGGTGAGATTAGGCGGTGTAATTACAAGGTAGAAGGCATGATATCTTTGTAATAGCAACGCATGAGTGGTATCGTCAGCGCCACATAATAACGTGATGTCTGTAGAACTTTCATGTATATAGACGACGGTTACTACTTACCATCACTTGGGCCGTTTGCTTGTTTTGTGTCCTAGGCTTAGGATTGAAGGATTTGGCTGTTGATTAGGGACGCCGTAAACCTCTACACCCATCAAAAAGTGACGCACCATGTTTGTGTTAAAACACTACAAGACCAAGGATGTGTTTAATTAAAAGATTATGTTATAAAGTATTAATAATTATAAATATTAATAAGAATTATATAGTCCTACTGAAATTTGTGTATGTTTATTTATTTAATTATAATTTATTTATTTCATAAGTTATTAATAAAATAATTGTCACAAAAATGAGCAGAGATTCATTCAGTTTTTATATTTGTCTTGGTTTTGTTTTTTTTCTTTTATATCCTTCATTTGTTAAAACCTTTCAGTGTTTATGAATATTTTTCATTACCCTGTTACATATACAAAATAGTATAATAATTTAACAATGTTTTACTGACTGTTTTTAGAATATAAGACTATAAATAATTGATTGAAGAATATAAACATACAAACTAAATGTAACTAAAATAATGTATCTACAGGTAATACTTCAGAATCAAGTAGGTACTTCACCAACAT